TCTCTCTCTCTCTCTCTCTCTCTCTCTCTCTCTCTCTCTCTCTCTCTCTGTGTGTGTGTGTGTGTGTATGTGTGCATGTGTGTGTATAATTTGCCTCCATGTATGTATGTACTTACTTGGTACCCGCAGAGGCTGGAAGAGGATGCTGGATCTCCTGGAACTAGAGATATAGATAATTGTGAATCATCATGTGGGTGATGCTAAATGAACCCAGGTCTTCTGCCAGACCAACCAGTGCTCTTAAGCACTGAGCCATCTCTCAAGCTCCCTTCTTTCATTTCACATTGGCTCCATCCCACAGAGTAAAGGCAGAAAGTATTGGCTGATCTCTTCCTTCCCTTCAATTTCTCTTTCAAGATCTCTGTTGTTTCACCTTCACAGATATTCACTATATATGTTTATATGTGTGAATGTATGCATGCATATATGTATGTATGTATATATATCACACACACATATATATATACATATATATTTATACATATACATACATACACACACACACATATAACACACACACACACACACACACACACACACACACACACACACACACATATATATATATATATATATATATATATATATATATATAAATAATTCAGAGTCTTACCACCAAAATTTAAATCTCATGGAACTAAACCCTTTTTTATCTACTGTGATTACATGTAAATACCAAAGGCAGTAAAACTCCATGCTTCATATTTGGTGCTGTATGGTGCTGGCTTTTTTTTAATGACCTTGCCTCCTTATTTCGTAACAATCTAAATTCTTGTTAGGTGTCTAAGTTTTCCTCCTACATATGAAACTACCAGCCTCTTCTCTGTGCTGGGCGCAGAAATCAAAATGACATAGTAAGTGAAGTATTTTTAAAGAGCACATTGTGTATCAATTCTAAAATAACAAGACTCTTATTAGCTATCCTTTTCTCTGTCTGCCTCTTTAAGCCTTTCATCTGCATATCATACCATAGGCAGTGCTATACCGCTGAGGTGCATCCCCAAGAGTAACATGACTATTCCCTACATATAGTTCCTAGAAATAAATCTTTTCCTTCACAGGCATTTATCAAAAACCCAGTATAAATAAGAGTATGAGTCATTTTAAATATTTGCTAATATACTTTGAAGTACACACATACCTATGTTTATATAAGCATGTAATTTGAAATAGTGAATTTGGTCTTATTTTATCAGAATATTGCAGGGTATCTCAATATATATCATCTATCTATCTATCATCTACTTATCTATAATTTATCTATATCATCTATCTATAATCCTGTATGTATTTATTAGTCTATCATCTCTCAATTATTTATCAATTTCTATTTACCCATCATCTAGTGATCAGCCATCTATCAGGTATCTCTATATACCTTTTCCTAGATACCACAATTATATTAATTTTACAAAAATAATTTTATTTAAATTTTTCAGACATCACAATATTCTAAGATATTTTCCATGGATTTAGGAGAAAAGGAAACTTGGACCTGATTTTGTATTATTCACTTAAATTTTGAAGCAATTTAAAACATTGTACTGTGGCCATAATTTGCTTTGTCCCAAGCTGTTGATTAATAGCTGTGAATGGGATTTGATGATAAAATTCTTTAACTAAAACCTCAGAACAGACTAGAAGGACTAGAAGCTGCCTCACTCTAAATGTGGTACCTGGTGAAGGGGAGGGGCTGAGAGACGGAACCTTCATCAAGAAGCACTCTTTCCTCTTCTCTTCCAGCTGCTTGTGGGGGACTTATTACAAAGCTCAATGGCACCATAACCACCCCCGGCTGGCCCAAAGAGTACCCTCCAAACAAGAACTGTGTGTGGCAAGTGATTGCTCCAAGCCAGTACAGAATCTCGGTGAAGTTTGAGTTTTTTGAGTTGGAAGGCAATGAAGTAAGTGAGCAATGTCTACAACGTCTTTATCGTGTTTCCGAGAACCCCTAAAGGCAATCTGACAAGCTTAGAAGAAAGAGGAGAGAATACGATGCGTGATGCGTTCATATAAATATCCTCTCATCATCCCACTCTTCCTTTCTGCGAATACTTGGGGGTGTGTTTTAGGCTAGAGGGAGTGCTTCAGCGATCCCTGCCAAGGTGTCCCGCAAACAATCAAGCCGTGTTACAAGGGGACATGGGGAAGCTGTTAGAGGCAGAGAAAGGGGAACAGAGAAGAACAGAGAGCAGAGAGAAAAAGAGAGAAAGAGGGGAAGAAGCCGGCCAGAAAACGGTGGGGGAAAACAGGTGGGAAAAGGGGAGGTGAGAGGGAGGGGAGAGAGGGGAGAGAAGGGAGAGAGAGCTTGAGCATGAGAGCTAGAAAGAGAGAGGGAGAGCAGAGAGAGCTCAAGGGGGAGGGAGGGAGGGAGGGAGGGAGGGAGGGAGGGAAGGAGGGAGGGAGGGAGGGGGAGAGAGAGAGAGAGAGAGAGAGAGAGAGAGAGAGAGAGAGAGAGACTGAACAATCCTTTTTGTAGTAAGCCAGGCTCCTACCTGGCTATTGCTAGGTAACTGTTGAGCAGAGTCTATAGGAAATGCTAATATAATTCTGCTGGTATGGGACTTACTTAGATTTGTGTGGGAGATTGAAAATTACCAGAAGGAATTTTCAGTTAATTTGGTGTCCGATATTTAGGATAAGCTTCCACGTCACATAGATATTTCTAGAAAAATAAAAAATTAAAAAAATTTAAAAAAGATTAAATCAGAACAAAAATGTCTACCTATAAGAAAGGTATGGTCTACTTTTGGATATTAGTATAGATTCATATGTATGTAGTTTTTGATTATGAATTGTGTTTGTGATTTACATGCCAAAATGTTAATTTTAATCTAACAAATTATGAATTTAGTGGAAGTTATTATTCATTTTCAAAATATAGCTTACTGGACTGAAGACTGAGTTTTTTGACAGACGATCATGTCGAAATTTGTGCAATCCCTTATCTGGAAATGTCTGTAGGTTATGCATACACATAGTAAATACAGGTACATTCGTTGCCTAGGAATGATGACAAGGAAGGCCAGTTGGAATTTGGATTTACTGGATTATTTTTATGAACAAAGTTATAAGCATACTTCCTTTGATGTTTCATTTTTCTGTTAATACTCCTTTCTGATTCCTTTCTTCTAACTTAAATTTCCACATTTATATTTAGTTAACTGTTATTTAATTCCACTAACTATAATGAAAATTCTTCTGCATTTATATTTAATTGAACATGATTTAATTACACTAAGTATAGTGAAAAGTTATTTTGCCATTACTGCATATGTAGTAAAACTTGTCAAGCATAGGAGGAGAAATGTGTGTGTGCCCCTGAGCCATTGTTAATTGGGGGGTTTTATAGGTTTTATTCGCAACTTTCTGCTGTACTTATTTTTGGCATTTGCTCCTTCTTTTCCTTGCTCCTTTTACTGCTTTTTAAATATTATTTGTCCCCAGTAATTCAACTTGCAGTTATTAAGGTACTTTTATGCATATATAAAAAATCCTTTGGAGACTTTGAAGTAAACATGGTGGGTAAGGTTTCGGTGGTAAACTTAGGCACTTTGGAGAAATGTAGAATCACAGAAATTACTTGCCTGGGATAAGTAGAAACGTGATTCTTTAAAGCATCTGTCATGTAACCATGGGGACCTAAGATCTGTACCCAACACCTACAATGGTCATCAGTGCTGAGGGTCCCAACAAAAGGGAGGCCAAGACACACAGGAGGATCCACAGGGATTTTTGGGCATTCAGTCTAGGCTAATTAGTGACTCTCTGGTTACATGAGAAACTCTAAAACAGAAACATACAAAGGAAGTGAACAGCTCATGAAAAATGATAACTAAAGTTGACATTTGACCTGCACTATTTATGGATACCTACAGATACAATCACGTGAAGACACAGACACCATACACACAAACACACATACACACATGCACATGCATACACACACATACATGTCAATATGCTGATTTAGATTATTTCCCAATGTCATGTGTAAAAAATGTTGGGAATTAATTAATCCTTTAAACATATTTAATCCATGTGGGGGTATAACTTTTTCTTATCAATTACCTCTGAAATGAAGGGTAAACATTGAAATGAAGTGATTGGCTTTTTCATAAGGATTTAGGAAAAGCTTTTGAACACTGTGCACTTTTCAGAAATGAGATTTCCTTCCTAGTCTATGATTTGATATTTACTGAGTATTGAATTAGCTCTACTGTCAAAATTATTGCTGCAGCTATTGGTTGTGTCTGGAGAAACATTTTGAATTGACACATGGTGTGATAAGAAAAGGAGTTTGTGTGCAGGAGGAGGGAGCAGAGGTGGTTTCATACAAATGCAGCTTTGTGCTCTACAAAGCCTATTCTCTTTGTAACGGCCACCATTCACAGACCAGCTGGCTGTAAACTCCTTAGCATATGCCAGAATTCTTAAACTTATAATGGTGTTTTTGTGTGGAAAACTGTTTCAACATTCTGTGTATTTCATAGCTTAATAACTTAACTGGTCACATTAGGCCTAAGCAAAACATTGACTTATAAACTATAAGAATAAGTCAAAACATCATTTAGTCTGTGTACTAAAGTCCCACAGGAATGTCAATAGCAAACACATTCTGCATCTGAAACATTTGTTTAGAATAGAATTCTCTCTAAACAAATATCACAGACTAACAAAGTATTTAGAAAAATTACTTCACTTTTTCCCAGTAGTAGTTTGTTTATTTAGCACCTAATTAATATCATAAAGAACTCCCCGTGATTTGCGTTGACATACTTCGAAGTACAGATCATGCCCCAGGGATCAATTGTATGCATTGTTAAACCTTGCTAATTACACATTTATATAATAAAGTTTTTCATGCACGATGAATTCTGCAGAATATTCTCTGTTCGAGCTTGGGAAAAGTGTGCTGTGGAAACATCTGTTAGAGGCCATAAAATTGCTTAGGAATACTTGGCATTCAGCTGAGTCCTTGCATTTTCCTGATGCTAGGTAAATAAATCAGACAAGCTTACTTCATTTTGTCACAAATCCATGGCTTATTCTACTAAGAGATTTAGCATTTGTTTACAGTCCTGTAAATGTCCTACAGAATAACCTACAGTACCTAACCCTGCAGGAAATGAAAGAATACGAACCTTTGAGTTAACTTTAAAGACAGGAACTTATTACTACACACTGACTGTCTATCTTCACCTTGGACTCAATGATTAGTGCTGCTTGGGGCAGGGTGTCATGCTTCCAGGGTACAGCACTGGTCTAAACCCTACATGGACTGTTATTCAACCACAAGGACATGACATCAGTATGCCTTTGTACATAATGTATAAAAAAATCTGAACAGAGAAAAATTGTCTTGGTCATTCCCAAAATGGGAAGGATGACTTCTATTGATAGTTGTCATTTCAGGAAAAGTGTGACTAGCAGTTTTATGCATTTGTCATCAGTGTTGGATAAGATGTGAAAAATGCTTTCTTAATTCATTCCAAAATTTAAAAGAAAAATAAATAGAAGGCAGCAATGGGCAGATTATCTTCTGCCGAGATACCAGCCTTTGAACCAATGCTCATCTTAACTCTCCTCAGATTTCAGTATTTTGTAAAAGACACATGCCATTACTATGGATCCTATACGTAAATTAACAAAAACACGTGCACTCCAGGAGTTTTTGCACAGTAAACGTCATGAGCTTTCATGCCTTCTGCCCCACAGTTGATTCCTGCTGGATTTTTTTTTTTCATGAGTTAATCCCCATAGTACTACGGTGGGACTAATGAAGTAAAACCATGCCAGGTTTCTCTAACATAATTGTCAATTATGAATCATGTTGTTCTCTCTAATTGGTAATCATGGCAACCATGTTTGTCTAGGTTTGCAAATACGATTATGTGGAGATCTGGAGCGGTCTTTCCTCTGACTCTAAACTGCATGGCAAGTTCTGTGGCACTGACGTACCTGAAGTGATCACTTCCCATTTCAACAACATGAGGATTGAATTCAGATCGGACAACACGGTATCCAAGAAGGGCTTCAAAGCACATTTCTTCTCAGGTATAAGTGTGCACATGCTGTATGTACAGGAACTTCTGTCTCGCAGTATGTCCTGCTTTTAACTGCTATCTCTTCTTCTTTTGCAAGCAGAAAGCATTTGGGATGCCCAAGCTAGGTTTGACAGCTCGATTAATGCCAATGTTAGTATATAAATCTTATAGGCCCCCATGAAGTGCTGTCCTTGAATAATAGCTCATATACAAAATTTAAATATGGCAATGGTTGATATGCGGTCTAGAATAGTTTCACATTCTGACTACTCACTACATGTGTGTGGTTAAATGTCACCAGACTTTCCCAAATCGGCAGATTTTCCAAATAGCATTTATTGACTCAGTATATGTGATTTCATGTGAACACTACATTTGTTTTCTTGTTTTATATTTAATATGTTAGGCTAAAATTAATGTCATATTTTGTCTAGTTTCTACAGAAATCATTGTGGTAACTATAGGAATATAATTTTTTATAAATTACATTTATATAATTTTGTAGCTTTCCATAGAAATATGGAAATGTAATGAAACTTATATTTTATATAAATGTAGCAATAACTAACATTTAATGGGTTGGGGCTATGAGTAGACTTTAAAAGTAATTAAAAGTACATATTTTACATAAAAAGCTAAAATGTAAAAAAAAAGTTAGTTTTTATAAAAATGTATATAAATATAAGCAACCTATTCTCTCTAGTTTAGACTCACTTTTCATAAAACCGTTCTTCTGACCTTCAAAAATGGGTTGCAATAAACCTTACCGTAGAAATTTACTCTGCATGTGTAGCTAGCAACCTATTTAACAAAACTGAATCCCCATTGTGTTCTAATACCAGGTAATTTAGATTCAATTAATTTAAATTCTATTGATGCCATCTTCCCTCTGCTTAAAATGAATGAGATTTACAATGTCCAGTGTCTGCCTGAGTGTCCTGTGTAATTGAAATTAATGGTTCACAAGCCCCATTGAGTTCCATGTTACCCTATCCTGCTTCCTTGTTCTCCGGACTGCCTTCCTCTCAGATTTAATTACCTTTTAAAAATTCTTTTCACTCATTGATTTAGTATTTATTTTATTAAAAGTGGAATGTTAATATCATACTCTAATAAAAGAAAGACACTTTCAGGGCTACCGATTTATTTTGTAGCTGTTCTATATCTTGGAATTTTAAGTGACCCATGGATTAGATGGAGATGAGGCCGCCTACCTTAGTGCTGTCTAAATATTTATTTTAGAAGTTAAATTTATGAAATGGATGAATTTTTGCAAACCCTTCAAAACATCTAGGATCTTTTACATTACTTTAAATGTACATTTTATCTAAAAAATGTTTAAAAGGTTTATTAAGCAAGTCCTGACTCCATAGTATTCTTAAGTCTATAGATTCTTTAAATTTAAAATTCACTTTGTTACTTTTGGCCAGGCAGGCAATGCTCTGTGAACAGTAGCATTGATATATAAAATGGCTTTGTTTCACTCGTACGACATGGATGTAAGGAGGCACACAGCTGGCGATCTGGTACATGCAAGCATGTGTGGTGTGCTCTGTGAGCTGTGTGAAGTAGCCACATTCCTTGGCAGCACCCAAAATTGGTAATTTGCTGTACTGCAAGTTCTCTGGTGTGACCATGTTCATGAAACAGCTCTGAAGTTAGTATTTATGTCAATCCTCTAAAGAGAATAAAATGATGTATTATAAATTATATAACTTTAGGTAATTTTGAGAAGCTTTAGACGAGATTGTTATGTAGAGTGGATGTTGCTGAATGTACTGAGTGATTAAGATCAAGAAGCAACGGAAGCCCTAGCTCTACTCTTGTATTCATTTGTATGTGTTCACCTGCAAGCTGAGACATCTGAGGGGTTAAATGGCTTGCTCCATGTCACAGTGTGTTATCTACTCTTAGTTTATCTTGCTCTGCTGGCCATGTGCTTAACCATAAGAGCCAACCATAACCTTGGCAATTGGCCTTGGTAACATCTTACACGAAGTATCCTTAGGACATGTGGGGCAAAGGACACTTTGTTTCTTAATAGGTTGTCGCTTGGTAAAGTCCACAGTAACTCTTAGAGAGAAGAAAATTCTAATGTTCTCTTTGAGGTTTATAGAAAGTTCTTAGAAATCTGTCAGATTCAAGCTTAAAAAATATTTTCGATTTGGATACATAATTAGATCTACTTTTACACCTAAACTCCTGGCTCTTTCTGTTAGCTAAGTGGTATGTTTGCTGGAGGAAAGGAAGGTAAAGTTGTGTTTGACGTAAGTTGCTCTTCAGGATCCAAGTAAGGGATAGCATCAGATGACGATTTAGGCTGAATGGCTCATTAATGATCACCTTTCATAATTCTAAACTAAAGGAGCTTTTCCATCTGTGTGTCTATCTTGACGAAAAAATGCTAGATTTCTCATAGTGTTTTGAACATAATAGTATCCACAGTAGTACATAGTGGTGAATTAAGAAGTAATTCAGTGTGACTGTATTTGTTAAAAAATAAGAAAACCACAGACATACTGTACATTCTAAAAATTAAAAGTTATTTTCCTTTGGAAACTCATTACTTGGGGATTTGCTAAAGCATGGTCCTAGAAGTATTTTTACAAATTCTGTAGAAAAAAAATGACCAGAGGAATCAAATGACTAAAAATGCTGTCTCGGAACTCCCAGTCTTGGGATAACTTAATGAACTATCTCAAAACTACAAAGAAGAATTTCAAAGTAGTGTTATCAAGATAATTGTATAATAATAGAATGTAATAAATATATGACAGTGAGTGTACACTGTATAATGTTTTGAATCATAATGTTATTTAATGAATTTATGATCTAAAAATTGTATATTATAGATTATTAGCAGAGATCTGAATATAAACCTGTAGGTAAGGCAAGGTGCATGCAAACAAAAGTGCCCAGGATGACTGTATTATTGTACAAATATGCTTAATCCGGATGTTGTACACTTCCCTTATGGAATCTTTCTCTGAATTAAATATAAACAAACCATCAGAGGAAAAACTCTCCCATCACATATTTCCCCATAACTCAAAGAGTATCTAAATATAAAAAGCATTCTGATACACCTAATACAATTTATTTAGGTTCTAGTTAGTTGTATATTTATATAAGATAAAAATATAGTTGAATTAAGTTTGAATTATCTCAAAACATGCAACTGAATACCCATGCTACTCTATTCTATTTGTTGATAGTTACTTTTATCAAGACTTAGTCTGAAAGTCTTATTCCTAAATCTGAAAGCTTGTTATTTTGTGATGAAATTCTAATCAAGCATATATGCAATTATTTCTACATCATTAACAATGACAATTACTAGAAAAATTAATATTTATTAATAAAATAGTTTTTACTACTTATTCTATATTATTCACAAAAGGAAAGCTACTTAAAAATTTATTTTCTTGCAAAAAATGATCCATTGGGTATAAAGACAAACACATGTATTCAAATTTTAATTTAGTAAAATAATGTATACATAGTATTATTTCTGATACACTTAATAAAATATCACAGATATTCTATTTTTTTCAGTCATAGCTTTTAAATATCAGCTTTTATATTTAAGGTAAAAGTTAAAAAGTATGTTTTAGAAAGCTTACCAGAGAGATCAATATCTTTGATTTCTACTATTTTTACATTGGAGAAATTAATACATTTTCATGTATCAATTCTAGTTAATTATAAGATTAATCAGAAGAAATCATATGTTAACAGATTTTATGTTTGATGACCTATGTGTGTCTAGAGAAGCACGTTACAGAGTAGCTCCATTTAAACTCTTTTTATGTTCATATATGTACAGATTTTAGATGGCTTCTACAATAGTATGTTTCTACATGTCCTTTTCAAAGTTTCTTAGTGTTAGTTATTGCCATGTCTATTCACTCCTCTACCCTACCTTACCATCCCACACTCCTCTTAAACTGTCTTGCTTCATTATTCCCCCTCCCCCCTTTTAATCGCCTGCATTATGACTCCCCTTCCTCGGATAACCACATCCTCCATGGACCCTTATTTCCTGATTTCTAGGGGATATCTATATCCTAAAACACACTTCTAAGGTCAGGAATAATCCAGGAGGAAAGAGTGGAAAGAATGTTAGAGTCAGAGGCAGCAGAGAACTGTAGCAAAACTGTTTCCTGCACACAACAGGGCAGTTGTATGTATGAGCTCCCAGCAGCTCTGACAGCATGTACAACATCTGTATAAAATCAAGCCACAAAAGTCCCTGCATGGAGGAGGGGCGTGGCCATCAAGCCCAACCCCTTAGTCGAGAAGTTCTTGGCAACTGATGGCTGCCATAGGAAGTCAGCTTTTCCTAAGTCTGTGGCCTCTAATAGGCTGCCCAGATGCCGGTGGATGAACCTGCACTCATGCACATATTGTCCATGTTAAGTGGATTCTAATGGTATTTAAAAAGACAGAGACATAGGAAGTTGGAGTGAAAAGTGATGGAGGGATATAGGAGAAAGAAGAGGGAAGGGATTGGGGTAGATTTGATCCAAACCTTTTATAGTCATATATATAGTATATAGTCATATATACTAAATGAAATATTTTTAAATTGCTCTCAGATTATAAATAAATACATTTCTCCTAAATCACTTCTACCAGGAAAATACTGATCTGATTGAAATGAAGAAAACCAGGTTGTTTTATAAACTATCATAGTTATGCTGAGCGATTTGTAAGAGTGACTATACACATACCTTAGGAACTTATTTAGCCTCTGTTGAGGTTGTTGTAGTGTCCTCCTATACCTCTTGTCTTTTGCAGACTACAAACAACTTAAAACTTATTTCCAAAAAGTTGATAATGAGTGCTAAAGATCAGTTGAAAAAAATAGAAGTTCTCTTGCTTCTACCACAAGTTTCTACTCCAGCACAAATTAGGCTGCCAAATGCTCCAATACTAACAAAGTCAAAACCTCTCAGAAAGTCACTCCATGCCCAACACCAATGCTCTACAGCCTCAGTTCATCCCATGAGCAAATGTGCTCAAAAACCCAGCCAGTGTTCAATAGCAGTGCTTTCAGAAACACAATCAACAGTCCAAGGCTCCTAGCCAAGCAAGGGAAGAGTTAAACTGGGATACCATAAATCTTACTTGCTTTTAGTGGCAAACCAGGAATTGTGTGGCTTATTTAATTTTTCTTCAGTTTACCACAATGAACTAAATCTATTCTGATACTGTTTGTGTTAAGAACTACTGTCTAAACAGAGCTATATGTCTTTGCCAGATAAGGATGAGTGTTCAAAGGATAACGGTGGCTGTCAGCATGAGTGTGTCAACACAATGGGAAGCTACACGTGTCAGTGCCGGAATGGATTCGTGTTGCATGAGAACAAGCATGATTGCAAGGAAGGTATGGGGAGAAGAATCTCTGCTTCACAACACCTCAGATCTCACATGTTTGAGTAAATGTGGTTCCTATGATGCTAATCACTTCTGTGAATGACACAACTGCCAACTATCCAAACCTCAAACAACAACAACAACAAAATACAACCAAGGAAATCTGTATGGTGCTTAGAGATTCAAAGGATGCTATTGGACACCCCATTAAATGACCCAAGGGTTTTGCACTTCACAAGTGGATGGCATTTGGCTTAAATTTATGTAACATAGAAGCTGCTGTAGTACCAACTGCCAGACAAAGTTTCACCACATGGTTCTAGGTATTTGTAGAGAGATTTTGTTACCCTCTCCACACATAAACCCCTCCAAAATGGTTTACATTGAGTGTGATGTTCCTCCCTGGAAATGTCATACATTTCCTACATGAGTGATGCTCCTTTAAACATCTTAAATATCAAACTCAAATGGTAGATTCTATGCCATTTAAAGATTTAAGCAAGAGTTTATGGGGAAAAAGCATACTAGTAGTATGATAATAACCTATTAGATTTTAGTCCATAAGATTTTGTTAAATGGTTCTAATTCTGTCTCCTGTGAGTTAAATAGATAGTTTTTTAGTTCTTTGTTTTTAGGGGTTTCTGCTGTGGAATTCCCCACTTAGATTGGAGACAAGCTTCTCTTGAAAGTAAAATTAATAAGAAAAATTTCATAACTGTCATCATCAGTATATAAAGTTTAGATGAATCTTTCTAAAATCAACAGCCCTGTACACAGTATTTGTATATATACATCTTAGAAGAATGCATGATATCCTTATGGACTTTCCTTTTATATACAGTCACACATTGGGGAGTTTTTTCTTCCTCTCCTGTGAGATAATGGCTTTGTGCAGAACCATGTGTGAGTGAGGACTTTTGCTCTCTACGTTTATGTACAGGATGTTTATAACTTGGTGGAGCATGCTACTAAATCAAAGACTGGGACAAAAAGCCCCATGATTTTGTAGACATGAAAAGTAATTCAAAGAAAGGAAAACAGCTTTTACAGATTATATGTGGAATCCGTGCTCAAATCTATTCCTGACAGTAGCTTTCTGGAACTTATTTTATAGAAAACTTCCTGTTAGACAGAATGGTTTCCAGATACTCCTTATTGTGGTTCATTTTTATTGCCAGGAAAGGGGTTGAGTTTTCCTCTACTTGTGTTGTAGAGTATGTACCTTGTACTGCCTAGCAGGGAGACCCCAACATTGCCGTGGGCTGTTGCAGATCCTGCAGAGGCCATGCTTCATAGGGAAAGCCCAAACATGGGCAATAGAAGCCAGGTGTCAGTCCAGTTCTGGGCCTGATGCCTGCTAGATAAAGTTACTATCTTGTTACCTCCTCCTCCTCCTCCTTCTTCCTCTTTTTCTCTGTTGAAAATAAAATTCTTTCTATGAGCATATAGAGTGACATAAAAGTTCTTTTAGGAAGGGAGGAAATTATCATGGCAGCAACAGAAATTATCTTAATTCAGTTTGGGGATAAACTCTGGGAGAGTCCTGCAATGAAAGAGGTGTGTTATTTATGTAAGAAAGAATCTGTTCTTATCTAAAGTGACACCAATTCTGAGAAACATAATGATACAATATGGTAATTTACTGGGATGTTCATTGAAGTTATTTTAGAGATTCCCTTATTTTTCACCTTAGAGTTTCATTCCACCAAAAGACATTGGGATTATTTTATTTTGCCCGCTAAAATGGCAGTGTAGAGATTCAAATGGATATTTAACTGTAGGAGGGAAAGAGAAAATATAACCATATGAGTCATAGAATGTCTTAACAGTGTTAATTATCATTAAGTGATGTTTCTGTTGACAGCAGAAAACAAAACAGGAAATGACACAGTCCATTGGCTTTTCCTTGTGGTGACATTTTACATATTTTCCTGAGACCAAGTGTTGATATGGTAGATTTTCAATGCACAATGCTCTACTGAAGTCTGAGATTTCCAATTCAGTAGTTTAAAGTAGAAGTTCATATTCTTCTAAACACTTATGTGATTTGTGGCAAGTGTATATTTCCAGCATCTAAGGCTACAAACACTGCCTGATTATGTTCAGCAACAGATTTTCTACAGCAGATGAAAATGGCAACATTGGATGCTGTAATGATTGGCTAGCCTGCAGGGAAACCTTTCAGCAGAGAAGGGGGCAGATCGGCTGCATGTTTTCTGGCCTGGTCCTGCACTAGACTCCCATACCAATTCATATTATTATTATTGGCACAGCTGAGTGTGAACAGAAGATCCACAGCCCAAGTGGCCTCATCACCAGTCCCAACTGGCCAGACAAATATCCAAGCAGGAAAGAGTGCACCTGGGCAATCAGTGCTATTCCTGGCCACCGCATCAAATTAGTAAGTAATTCCCTTCCTTTGATTAAGCTGATTGTCCATGTCTTTCTTGGCTAATCCACAGAGAAGTGGGGGGGTGTTTTATTAGTGGACTTGAGTCAATTTTCCAGGTTTTTCCTTCTATTTACACAAAACACATGCTTGATTTCTCAGATTGAGGTGAAGGCCATGTTCTTCCAAGGCCTCTTTAAAATGTGTTATTAAAATTGCCATAAGCATTAGGATTTTAGCCTTACATTACTGGTAATTATATTTACAAATGGAGAATAAATAAATTAACTTTTAAAAAGTCAGAAATTCATCTGAAAAACAATAAACTATTATTTCACTTAAAAAGAGTATGATGTATTCTTCTGATTTTATAAATTCTATTTGTTTCGTAGACAAAACATGGCTTTTAAAAATAAAATCAATTTTGCCCTGTGGTTTGAATAATATTAATTTATACAATCTATAACTTTTTAAAAATTTTAGTTATTTAATGTATGAGTGCTCTACTGCATATACATCTGCTTGCCAGAAGAAGGTATCAGATATCTGTATAGATTGTTGTGACCTACGATGTGGTTTCTGGGAATCGAGCTCAGGACCTCTGGAAGAGCAGCCAGTGCTCTTAACTGCTGTGCCATCTTACCAATGCCAATCTATAACTCTTAATAATGGAATCCTTACATCTTTATGTTACCTTCATAATTATGTCCAGCAGTATTCTGTATTACTAATTCAAATACTGACTGTAAGATACTCTTCTTTCCCATTTTCTTTGAATCTTGAATTCCTGTTTGGTCACTTAATAATAGTACATTTTTTATAGGGCATAGATTCTATATATTAGAAACCAAGCTACAATGCATGTATTAGTGTAAATATTTGACTATTTATGTATATATAGAGGTAGTTCACAAGGCTTCCTTAGATCACAGTATAGGAGGTACTAAAGAGAACAAACACTTAAAGAGACTACTGCTCTGAATAGTTCACAGGACCAATACAGTCAAAAGGTTTATTGTAAGATGATTCACCTCATCAGACCCTTCCCATCTGTGGAGATATTTTGTTGTTGTTTTCAATCTATAAAATGAATGTATTGAAATATGGCACTATAATTAAATCAGAGTTGAAGACAAAAGAGTCATTTCCTATCATGGAACTCCCACTCTTTGCCATGTTTGTAAGAGACCTCCCAGAACTGTCACCTCTGTGACTCAGTTAAACAATGTTAGATGCTGAGATGACAGAAAGGCACTGTACTAGTGCAGCTTAGTGTTTTACTCCTGTCCAAGGTGCTGATTGTCAGAATGATCCTTTGATACCAAATAGGCTATTCAGTTAGTAGTGCTGGGAATATGGTTTTCCTTGATCAGATCTACTTATGGAAATTAAATGAAAAATTTTTTTCTGTCTGATAGCTTAATCATTCTCTTTGAGCTGCTACATTTTATGTTCTTCATAGAATGCAGGCAGCCATCACTCTAGCCTGAAAATATATTTTATGCAATATATTCTGATAATGATTTCCATTTTCCTAAATCTTCCCAGATTTTCCCTACCCCCTTCTAATCCAAATCTGCATCCTTTGTCTTTCTCTGTGGAAAATATACAGACATATAATATAATAATGATAATAATAATAACCAAAACCAAATTGAAATTGGACAAAACAAACTGAAGAAAAGTACTCAAAGAAAAATCACAAGAAACACATACAGAAGCAGAGGCACACAAGTTCCCATGCGTGGAAATCCCATAAAAGCACCAAACCAGAAACCATAATATCTATGCAGAAGACCTTAAGGCTGAAAAATGCTTTGATAAAACATTGTGAGACAGAGAACCTCCAAAAATGCCACTGAACTCATTTTGGTGTTGGCCAACTACTGCTGAACTGGGTGTGAGGGCAGGAGTTAAGAATGGTTTATATATACAGTGAGATTCCACGGGAGAAAGCTAAATTTTCTTTTGTGAATAGTTGTTAATTAGAGATAACCTCTGGGTTAGGGATGGAGGTTTGTTTCCATACTTCCTCCCAATGCTGGGACCCTGTGTGACCCATACATGTGCAGGCTCTATGTATGCTGCCATAGTCTCTGAGAGTTCCTGTGTACATTGGTCTTGTTTAGAAAGCCTTGTTTCCTTGCTTTCCTCTATCCCCTCTTACTCTTAGAATATTCTGCTTCCTCTTCCCCAGGATTCACTTGAGCTAAGAAGGGAGAAATTTGATGGAGACATCTTGTTGGATACTGTGTCTAATGTCTCTCACTCTCTGCATATTGTCTAGCTGTGGGTCTCTATTTGTTCTCATTTCCTTCAAAAGGAATTGTCTCTGATAGTGGCCAAGCAAGATACTGACCTATGAGTATTGCTTGTATAATTTCTATTTAACTAACTTCCTTTTCAGTGATTATTTCTTCATTTCTCTTGGATCAATTGAAAAGATTGTTAAGCACTATTTGATTGTTTTGCTATTAACACATGGCTATAGTTTTCACTTCTGTTAGTCTGTTACACTGTTATAACATGATATCTTAGATTGGATAACTTTGATAACGAAAATTAGTACAATTTCTTCACAGTTATGAAGATTTAATGTCCAAGGTTAAATTACCTACTATGTGGGTGTATGGTTGGTTTGTCTTCTTGCCTCTTAAATGCCTACCTTTTTGGTGTGTTCTCACACAGATGTGTGTGTGTGTGTGTGTATGAGGGGGGTGGAGGGAGACGGAAAGGGAGAAGGAGAGGTACATGATGTGTCATTATGAACGTGCTTGTTCATGTATTTTGGAATGTGCAATAGGCCTTGTTGGAAGACTAGAGCACCATCTATGGGTATTGCTCCTGGCCATTCTGTCTTGTTTGAGGTAGGCTGTCTTAGCTCGGCTATATGCTAAGCTAGCAGGAAAGATGCAGGAGACTTACTGTTTCTGTCTTTTATCTTCCCACAAGGACAGTGTATGCATTACTGCATCTGGCTTTTAAGTGTGTTCTGGTTATTGGCACTCAAGTCATCAGGCCTGTGCAACAAGTGTTTTTACCCTGAGCCATCAGCCCAGCTCGTATCATGTCTTCTCATTAATAAATTAGGAGAAACTAGATTTTCTTGACTTTCTTCTGAGGATGTCTGTCCAATGCCAGCATAGCTCTACTCTTTTATTTAAAGAGTTATATTATGTGAGTATGCTGTCTTTGTGCATATCAGAAGAGGACATCAGATTTCATTGTAGATGGTTGTGAGCCAACATGTTGTGGGGAATTGAACTCAGGACCTCTGGAATAACATCCAGTGCTCTTTACCCCTGAGCCATCAATCCAGCTAATAGCTCTACTCTTTTTACTGTATTTAACCAACATTGTATGTAAGACCTCACCTTCAAAAATAGTTAAAAATTCAGTCAATCCCCAAAATATGAACTTTAACTCTAATTTTAAGTTTCTTTAAATGGTTTATCCTGTCTTAATATGTGACAGTGCTTGGATTTTTTCTTCTATATTTTATTTTTGGATACTTCTAGTTTCAGTCTTATATTTAATCCATTTTAGTTTTCAATTATTATTATTATTATTATTATTATTATTATTATTTGGTATGAGGTAATTTTTTTTCAGTATTAGTTATCAAAGAAAGCAATTTTCTTATTATGTGTTATTGACATCATCATAAAAAATAAGTTTGGTGTAAATGCATGATTTAAGTTACGGGATCTTTATTCTGTTCTGTCAGTTTAAGAGGTCTATGCTTTATGCTGCTATGCTATCAGTTTAAGAGCTCTATGCTTTATGCTGCTGTTCTGCTCTTTTGGTTATTACAGCTTGTAAGCTACATTGAAATTAAAAACTATAATATTTCTATTATTTATCCACAGTATTGCTTCATTGTATTCCAGTGAAGTCTTACTTCCAAAACAGGTTTGAAACAGATTTGGAATTCACCAGTTCATCTTTTCTAGACTAAAACTTCTGGAGGCATTGTGTGTGTATTATTTGTATTCTTTGATGCTTTTCCACATGGATAGAATGAATGAATTTCGATCACTTTTACTCCTCCAACTATCTTTTTTCATCTCTGATCCCTCTCTGGCTGAGAAGGGGTATTTCCCTCACTTTCATGTGATCATTTTATATCTGACACAGTTGGTATTGATTTAATAGTTAATAGTCATTTTCTACAGCAGTGGCAAAAAATGGGTACATTAACCTCAGTTATAATGACTGCATGTTCCTGTGCTTTTTCATAAAAATATCAGATCATTGTATCATAACTTGGAATACAACGATGACTTACTCAGTGATGCTTAGGAAAAGTCAACTAGAAAACCCATATACGTTTACAGTTATGAATGAATGAGGCTGTGGACCTTTATCCCTGTGTTCATTGTGCCTTGGCTCAAAGCAATATAATTGGCCATTATTTTTGGAATATTTTTATGCACATGCATGCACACACACACACACACAGACACACACACACATGGAGAGAGAGAGAGAGAGAGAGAGAGAGAGAGAGAGAGAGAGAGAGAGAGA